ATTTAAATAAATTAATTAATATTATTTAATAAATAAAATAAATATAAATAAAATTATTTACTTATAAATTTCTCTTTCTTTATGTGCCTATTTAATATGTTTATGCCATTCTAATACTTTATTTTTTTTTTCTTCAATTGTCTAATAATTTGCATTAAATTACATATCTTTATATTTTAAATATAAATTACTCCTAAGAGTTAATTTTTTAATATGTGGTAAAAATTTTTTCCAAATTTTGTTAAATGTTGTATAACAAACTTCATATTTATAATTATTTTCAGTTGTTTCTAAATATTGAATATATAAAGATAAATAAGTTGTATCTGCTGGTAAATATATAATAGCACTAATATTATTACAAAAACTTCATCCTATAAAATTTATATAAATTAATAAAAATATTTAATTAAAATTAATTTAATAATTATAATACCTAAAAATGATAAACTATTTTGTTTTGTATAATTTGTTATAAAAGTAATAATTCTTATTACTGTTTCAAATGATATTGCCTGATTTCCTATTTTATTTATTTTAGAATTTTTTCTTAAATTTATATTATTTTCTCTAAAATGTTCTCTTAAATTTTTCTATTTTTTGTTTCCAAGTCCATAGATTGTTTTAAAAGCATTAAAACAAAATAATTTTCCTTCAAAAATATATTCTATAGAAAGTTTGATTTTTTTTAAATTTCTAACTACCTCAGGTCATTTAGTAACAGAAATAATACCTAATAAATATATATCTTAAAAAGATTTAGAAAGTTTTTTGAAATTTAAATGTCTTAATAAAGCTATTGAATAATTACATTGAGTTTGTAAATAATTTTTTTCACAACATTCTTTATCAAAAGATTCTTTAAATTCATTATTTTGTAATAAATTAATTTTATCATCTAAATTTTGATTATCATCTTGTTCTTTTAAAATATCTTTTGTTTTATAATATAATATTTTAAATTTAGAAATTTCTTCTTCAGTTAAAGTTTTATTTTTTAAAAGATTATTTTCTGAAATTTCTTGAATTTTAGAATTATCTAATAAAGATAAACTATTTTTTTTATCTAAATATTGAAATTGCAAATTTGAAAGATCAGTTTGCAATTGAGTATTTTCTTTATAAGTTTCTTCAAAAATATCTTTGTTTAAAAAAAAATTAGTTATTTTTGTAAAATAAAATTTAAATTTTAAGTAAAATTAAATTTAAATAATTTTAAATAAAATATTTTATATTTATATATTTGAAATATTAAAAATATACAAAATTTAACTATAAATACATAAGCAAATAAAGATAAGATACCATAGTATTTCAAATATATTATATAATCAAAAGAACAATATGTACAACTAATTAAAAAAATTTTATTATATAATCAAAAGAACAATACAACTAATTAAAAAAAAATTATTGCAGTTTCTATAAATGTACATAATATAAAAATAAAAAAATTTTATTGTTTCATATCTTAATAATCATTCAATCATACAATATTATACAAAAAAATATGTATATTTATTTCATTCTATATATCAAAGATGATTATACAATATAAACTTTATTTATTATAAAATTCAATACATATCTAAAGAAAAAAACATGATTACAAGAAAATTCGTCAACCAAAAATCACTTTTGGCATTTTACTAAAGAACCTTCTTGTAGTCTTCTAGGCTGAAGACCACAAGAAATTTTACTAATAAAATATCAAAAGACCCAAAAACAGTTCAAATGCAGAAAAACTCAAAGAGCATACCAGTAAAACACTGAAAGATAAGAATAAAATTAGAAAACCCAGGAGACTAAAAAAAATTAGTAAGCCAAAAGAACAGAAAAAAAAATCAACACAATTAAGATTATCAAAAAAGCCAGAAGACTAGAGAAGATCACAAGAAATTTCACCAAAAATCATCAAAAGACAAAGAAAATTAATTAATTAGTAAAATCCAGAAAAACAGAAAATAAACCAACAACACAATTAAATTACTAGAAGTTGAAATATCAGAGAAGACTACAAGAAATTTTACTAAAAATCGCTGAAAGGCCAAAAGACATAAAATTAATTAGCAAAATTCTGATAAACAGAAAAAAAAACTAACAACATAATTAAACCTACTAGAAAAGCTAGGAGACTACAAGAAATTTCCCCAAAAATTGTCGAAAAACCTAAAAACAGAAAATTAATTAGTAAAATTTGAAAAAACAAAAAAAAAACCAATTAAAATTAGCAAAAAACTAGAATACCAAGAGAGATCATCAGAAATGCCAAAGGACCTAAAAACAAAGAAAATTAATTAGTAAAATCTAGATAAACAGAAAAAAACCAACAACATAATTAAACCTACCAAAAAAGCTAGAAGACCACAAGAAATTTCACTGAAAAACCTAAAAACAAAAAATTAATTAATAAAATTCAGATAAACAGAAAAAAAACCAACAATATAATTAAACCTATCAGAAAAGCCAAAAAACCACAAGAAATTTTACCAAAAATCATTAAAAAATCTAAAGACAGAAAATTAATTAGTAAAATTTGAAAGAACAGAAAAAAAACTAATTAAAATTAGCAGAAAACCAGAATACTAAGAGAGACCATAAGAAATTTTACCAAAAATGCTGAAAGATCTAAAGACAAAGAAAATTAATTAGTAAAATCCAGATAAACTGAAAAAAAACAACTATATAATTAAACTTATCAGAAAAGCTGAAAGACTACAAGAAATTTCACTGAAAAACCTAAAGACAAAAAATTAATTAGTAAAATCTGGATAAACAGAAAAAAACCAACAACATAATTAAATCTATCAGAAAAGCTGAGAGACTACAAGAAATTTTACCAAAAATCATCAAAAAACCTAAAGACAGAAAATTAATTAGTAAAATTTAGAAGAACCCTAACAATACAATTAAAATTAGCAGAAAACTAGAATACCAAAAGAGACTACAAGAAATTTCACCAGAAATGCCAAATGACCTAAAGACAAAGAAAATTAATTAGTAAAATCTGGATAAACAGAAAAAAACTAACAACATAATTAAACATATCAGAAAAGCCAGAAAATCTGTAGAAATTACAAAAAATTTTACCAAAAATCATTAAAAAATCTAAAGACAGAAAATTAATTAGTAAAATCTGAAAGAACAGAAAAAACCCTTAACAACACAATTAAAATTAACAGAAAGCCAGAATATCAGAAGAGACCATAAGAAATTTCACCAAAAATCACCGAATGTCCTAAAGACAAAGAAAATTAATTAGTAAAATCTGGAAAACTAGAAAAAAACTAACACAACTAAAATTACTAAAAAAGCCAGAGACTACAAAAAATTTTACTAAAAATTGTTGAAAAACCTGAAGACAGAAAATTAATTAGTAAAATCTAGAAGAACAGAAAAAACCTCCCAACAACACAATTAAACTTACCAGAAAGCCAGAATACTAGAGAAGATCACAAGAAATTTTACCAGAAATCATCGAAAGACCTGAAGACAATGAAAATTAGTAAAATTTAGAAGTATAGGAAAAAAAACAAACAATAAAATTGCCAGAAAGCCAGAAGACCAAGGGAGACTACAAGAAATTTTAGCAGAAATCACTGAAAACTCTAAAGACAATAAACTTTCTTCATTATAATAAAAATTTTTAAATACTTTATTTCATAGATCAGCATTACAAGTCTCTTCTGTTATTTAAACAAACTCGTTGCTACATTTGCAAAAATTTCATAAGAACAGAAAAAAAAGCCAACACAATTAAAATTATCAAAAAAGTGAAAGACTACAAGAAATTTCACCAGAACTCACCGAAAGGCCTAAAGACAGAAAATTAATTGGTAAAATCTGAAAGAACAGAAAAAAAACAATTAAAATTACCAATAAGCTGGAAGACTAGAGAAGACTACAAGAAGTTTCACCAGAAAATTGTTAAAACATATAATTAAAATTGAAAGACCAAGGGAGAGACTAGAGAGGGAGACCACAAGAAATTTTATCAGAAAATTGCCGAAAGACCTAAAGATAAAGAAATTTATTTGTATAATGCCAAAAAAAAAAAAAACAACAATAAACCAAAAAAAATCAAAAATGCTAAAATCAGAAAACCCAATTTAATAAACTTTGTATTTAAGAAAAGAATTTGTATTTAAATGAAAACTTTGTGATTAGTGTTAGATGTTACTTTAACTTTTCAAAGATCTACATTTCTAGAATTTTTTATTAGATTCTTGAAGATCCATATATCATTAATTTCTATTTTTAGATTTTTATAATTGTTTTAGTTTTTTGTATCTCACCGATTTTCTTATTATGTAATGTGTACTTGTAACTTATAGTAAATCTTTTCTTTGAATACATATTTATTGAAAAATAAAATAAATAAAAAATTTTAAAAATATAAAAATGGTCCTTTTTCATATGAGACACCCCATATTGTCAATTGTATGCTTTTTCTGTAGTGGTTCACTGAACCACATTTATCATTGTTAAATAAAATCAAAAGACCTAAGAGGTTATCTTTACAACAAAAAAAAAAAAATAATAACACTAAAAGATTTGCAATAATCACATTTGCAAGTTAGAAAAAGTTAGAAGCAGTATAGTTAAAACTAATAAGATATAACAATTATACAATTTTTTGAAAAAACTATGAGGTGAAAAGAAAAACAAGAAAAAAAACAAGAATAATTAACAAAAATTATGTTAATAAAAAAAAAAAGAAATAATACTTAGAAAATAGAATACAAATATGAAGAAAAAGAAAAAAAAATAATAAAATAAAAAGAAAAATTCAAAAAAACAACAAGAAAATATTTACAAAAAGTTTGTTGTTTAGAATACTTAGCAGACTTGACAAGATAGAAGCACAGAAAGAAGGTAATAGTGCAGTAGTAAAATAAAAACTAGCAAACTACTTCTAATAGCTACTAAAGTTAATCTGAAGTTAACAGATATAAAGATAAGCTTCTTTTCACAAAGTCAAATAACCAAAACAGAAATATCACAAGAAAACACTTTATATCTGAGGAAAAATCTTAGATAAGATAAAAAGAAGCCATTAAATATAAATAACAGTAAAGGAAAAAAAAAACAAATAGATGAAAATAAGAATTAGCTAAAGACTAAGAATATACAAAATAGAACACATATAGAAAGAATATATGAAAATAGAAAAATTGAGCTTAACCTAGTGATATATAATATTAACAGCCTTAAATTAAATAGCCAAAAAATAAAATTACTGTATGAATGAATAATAGATAATAAACTTAATATTGTAAGGCTATCAGAAACAAATATCTTAGCTAAAAAAGAGTTTTTTCTAGCAAGAAATTTAGAAAAATATAAAAGTTTTTGAACAAATATATGTTTAAACAAAAAAAAAAAGTTTAGGTGTAAGTTTGCTAATTAGCAATCAATAGAAAAAACACTTAGAACAGATAGACAGAATAAATAAATATATAGTCTTATGTTTAAACAACTAAAGATTGTAGTTATAATGACTTACTTGCCATCAAATAAAAAAAAAATAAAGACTAATTTAAAAGACAATTATAAACAAGTATATTAAAAGACTTGAAAGAACACAAATGGTAATTATAGGTAATTTTAACAGTGTAGTAGATGTTAATTTAAATAGGCTAACAAAATTAAAAAAAAAAACAACTAAAACCAAACTTATTGCTAAAATGGCTTAAAAGACAAGAATTTAAAGATGCTTTTAGATTAATCAATCTAGAATCAAAAGACATTTCATAGTCAAATTAAGATTTGGAATTAAGAATTAACTATATTTGGATTATAAAAAAACTTGCAAATAGTCTTTATAAAGCAAAAATCCAGCAAATGAATATCTATACAAATAGTAATCATAATACATTAGTAGTAAAAATAGAATTGTATTATTTGATTACATCTTATAGTGCAGTAGAAATTAGAAAAGAAAGTTTTAAAAAAACAATAATTATATATAACAAAGCAACCAAAAAAAATTAGAATAACTATAAGCAAAATCTTAATAAGCAACTAGAAAAAAAAATTTGTATACAAGATTTTGAGCAGTTTTTTCAAATAAATAAAGGCATTAAAAATGAAAAAAATATAAATAAATAGTAGAATATAATTAGCAATAGCATTATTACAATAGCATACAAATGCCTTCTAAAAAAGAAATATTAATATAGCATCTAGCAAAAAAAAAAAACAAAAGAAGTGCAGTTGGAAAAGACATTTACTCAGTTAGAAAAATGGATAAATATTAAAAGAAACAATATTAAATTAAGTTATCTAGAAGACTACATAGAAGATCTAAATAAAAAAATCATCTTTATTAATTAATAACACAGAATATATATAAATCTAACACAAAAAAGTTGGTCTTGTGAACTTATTAATGATCTAAAAGGTTGGTAAAAGATACTTCATGCAAGAAAAGCTAGTGAATTAGATAATCAAAAAAGAAAGAAAATTAAAAAAAAACATAGAGAAATGATGCAAAATGATTAATAAAAAGTAAAGCAAAATATTAATAAGTCTATTAAATAAGCTAACAAAAAAAATTAAAATTAACAGACTAATAGAAGAGGTAAAAGGACAAAGAAACTGTTTATAAAATCAACAGAAGTATTAGAAAAAACAAATGAATACTACTAAAACTAGTTTAAATCAAGGCATTTCAACTAAGAAATTTGCAAAAAACAA